AAAGAAAGAAAGAAAGAAAGAAAGAAAGAAAGAAAGAAAGAAAGAAAACACTTCAGATCTTGGGCATATCTTTAATATTACAGCTAACAGTACTTGGCTCTTGTGCGGATATTCTGATGGGTATTAACTGAGATAGCAAATGTAAAGCATTACATTTAGTAGTAATGTAATTACTTTAGAAAGAGGTGATTCCTCTTTCTAATCCTGAACGTTTCCCTCCTCATATTTCCAGTTCCTCCACTAAATCCTTCTAAAGGGAAATCACCTCCTATCTGGCTCCTTAGTGCTTCACTGCCTCACATATGACCATGACCAAAATTAAGATTTAGATCATTAGCACCACTTAGATACTGTGCTGTAACAATATCAGTTATTTTTCAGATCACATTTGTCTTTAGGGAATTAATCTTTGCTAAATCCCAAGCCATTTATCAGAACACTTACATTGCTGACTACTCTGAAAACCTTGTACCTAATTTATAATAATCACGGTAGCTAAATTTTGTGTATCAATTAAAACCATAAATTATATCTTATACATTTTAAGCTAGTATGTATCATACAACTTTTAAATACTTATAACAATTTTGTGTGCATTGAGTTATACGTGTAGTTCTATTCTTATAGTCCTCTAATGCAGAGTTTCTCCAATTTTAGTGCATATTCGTATCATTTGGGAATCTTATTAAAATGTAGGTTCTGATTCTTTAGGGTGGGGGTGAGTCCTGAGATTCTGCATTTCTAACAAGCTCCCAGGTGATGTCAATGCTACTGGGTTCTTAGGGACAAAGCTTTTTAAGGTGGTATCATATAAGGCAGTAGCTCTCAAAATGGAGTGCATAAGAAACACTGGAGCAGCTTTATACAGTTACAGAGAACTGGGAACCCCCTCCCCTCTTTAATGCCTAAATAGAAAACCTGATTTAGTACCTGGTTGGGGCCTGGTTATATCCATTCCCTCAATTTCCCTAAGTAATTTTTATGCCCATCAGATTTGGACAGCCAGCAAAAAATAAATCTTAAAATATTTTTATTTGACCTGATAATCTCTTTTTTTTTTAATTTTTTTATTGTTATGTTAATCACCATATATTACATCATTAGTTTTTGATGCAGTGTTCCATGATTCATTGTTTGTTCATAACACCCAGTGCTCCATGCAGAACGTGCCCTCCTCAATACCCATCACCAGGCTAACCCATCCCCCCACCCCCCTACCCTCTAGAACCCTCAGTTTGTTTTTCAGAGTCCATCATCTCTCATGGTTCGTCTCCCCCTCTGACATACTCCCCTTTTCTTCCTCTCCTGTTATCTTCTTCTTTTCCTTTTTTCTTAAAATATGTTGCGTTATTTGTTTCAGAAGTACAGATCTGTGATTCAACAGTCTTGCACAATTCACAGCGCTCACCATAGCACATACCCTCCCCAATGTCTATCACCCAGCCATCCCATCCCTCCCACCCCCAACCACTCCAGTAACACTCAGTTTGTTTCCTGAGATTAAGAATTCCTCATATCAGTGAGGTCATGTGATACATGTCTTTCTCTGATTGACTTATTTCACTCAGCATAAGACCCTCCAGTTCCTCATTGCAAATGGCAAGATTTCATTCTTTTTGACGGCTGCATAATATTCTATATATATATATATATATATACCACTTCTTCAATATCCATTCATCTGTCGATGGACATCTTGGCTCTTTCCATAGTTTGGCTATTGTGGACATTGCTGCTATAAACATTGGGGTGCACGTATCCCTTCGGAACCCTACATTTGTGTCTTTGGGGTAAATACCCAGTAGTGCAGTTGCTGGATCATGTGGTAGCTCTATTTTCAACTTTTTGAGGAACCTCCATACTGTTTTCCAGAGTGGTGGCACCAGCTTGCATTCCTACCAACAGTGTAGGAGGGTTCCTCTTTCTCCTCATTCCTGCCAACATTGTCGTTTCCTGACTTGTTAATTGTAGCCATTCTGACTGGTGTGAGGTGGTATCTCATTGAGGTTTTGATTTGGATTTCCCTGATGCGAGCACTTTTCATGTGTCTGTTGGCTATTCGGATGTCTTCTTTGGAAAAATGTCTGTTCATGTCTTCTGCCCATTTCTTGACTAGATCATTTGTTCTTTGGGTGTCGAGTTTGATAAGTTCTTTATAGATTTTGGATACTAGCCCTTTATCTGATATGTCATTTGCAAATATCTTCTCCCATTCTGCTGGTTGTCTTTTGGTTTCATTGACTGTTTCTTTTGCTGTGCAAATGCTTTTTATCTTGATGAAGTCCCAATAGTTCATTTTTGCCCTGGCTTCCCTTGCCTTTGGCGATGTTTCTAGGAAGAAGTGGCTGTGGCTGAGGTCGAAGAGGTTGCTACCTGTGTTCTCCTTTAGGATTTTGATGGACTCCTGTCTCACATTGAGGTCTTTCAACCATTTGGAGTCCATTTTTGTGTGTGGTGTAAGGAAATGGTCCAGTTTCATTCTTCTGCATGCGGCTGTCCAATTTTCCCAACACCATTTGTTGAAGAGACTGTCTTTTTGCCATTGGACATTCTTTCCTGCTTTGTCAAAGATTAGTTGACCATAGAGTGGAGGGTCCATTTCTGGGCTCTCTATTCTGTTCTATTGATCTATGTGTCTGTTTTTGTGCCAGTACTATACTGTCTTGATGAATAGAGCTTTGTAATAGAGCTTGAAGTCCAGAATTGTGATGCCACTAGCTTTGCTTTTCTTTTTCAACATTCCTCTGGCTATTCGGGGTTTTTTCTGGTTCCATACAAATTTTAGGATTATTTGTTCCATTTCTTTGAAAAAAGTGGATGGTATTTTGATAGAGATTGCATTAAATGTGTAGATTGCTCTAGGTAGCATTGACATCTTGACAATATTTGTTCTTCCAATCCATGAGCATGGAACGTTTTTCCATTTTTTTGTGTCTTCCTCAATATCTTTCCTGAGTATTTTATAGTTTTCTGAGTACAGATTCTTTGCCTCTTTGGTTAGATTTATTCCTAGGTATCTTTATATTTTTGGGTGCAATTGTAAATGAGATCGACTCCTTTATTTCTCTTTCTTCAGTCTTGTTGTTGGTGTATAGGAATGCCACTATTTCTGTGCATTGATTTTATATCCTGCCACGTTACTGAATTGCTGTATGAGTCCTATCAGTTTTGGTGTGGAGTCTTTTGGGCTTTCCACATAAACTATCATATCATCTGCAAAGAGTGAGAGTTTGACTTCTTTGTTGATTTGGATGCCTTTTATTTCTTTTTGTTGTCTCATTGCTGTGGCTTTCTAATACTGTGTTGAATAGCAGTGGTGATAGTGGACATTACTGCCATGTTCCTGACCTTAGGGGTCTGATATAAGGATTGCCACCCCAGCTTTCTTTTGGTGTTCATTAGCATGGTAAATGGTTTTCCAGCCCCTCACTTTCAATCTGGGGGTGTCTTTGGATCTAAAATGAGTCTCTTGCAGACAGCATATTGATGGATCTTGTTTTTTTATCCAATCTGAGACCCTGTGTCTTCTGATTGGGGCATTTAGCCCATTTACATTCAGGGTAACTATTGAAAGATATGAATTTAGTGCCCTTGTATTGCCTGTAAGGTGACTGTTACTGTATATTGTCTGTGTTCCTTTCTGGTCTATGTTACTTTTAGTCTCTCTCTTTGCTTAGAGGACCCCTTTCAATATTTTTTGTGGGGCTGGTTTCGTGTTTGCAAATTCCTTTAGTTTTTGTTTGTCCTGGAAGCTTTTAAATCTCTCCTTCTATTTTCAATGACAGTCTAGCTGGATATAGTATTCTTGGCTGCATATTTTTCTCATTTAGTGCTCTGAATATATCATGCCAGTCCTTTCTGGCCTGCCAGGTCTCTGTGGATAGGTCTGTTGCCAATCTAATGTTTCTACCATTGTAGGTTACATATCTCTTCTCCCGAGCTGCTTTCAGGATTTTCTCTTTGTCTCTGAGACTCGTAAGTTTTACTATTAGATGTTGGGGTGTTGACCTATTTTAATTGATTTTGAGGGGGGTTCTCTGTGCCTCCTGGATTTTGATGCCTGTTTCCTTCCCCAATTTAGGGAAATTCTCTGCTATAATTTTCTCCAATATATCTTCTGCCCCTCTCTCTCTTCTTCTGGGCTCCCAATTATTCTAATCTTGTTTCGTCTTATGGTATCACTTATCTCTCGAATTGTGCCCTTGTGATCCAGTAGTTGTTTATCTCTCTTTTTCTCAGCTTCTTTATTTTCCATCATTTGGTCTTCTAGATCACTAATCCTCTCTTCTGTCTCAATTATCCAGCAGTTAGATCCTCAATTTTTGATTGCACCTCATTAATAGCCTTTTTGATTTCGACTTGGTTAGATTTTAGTTCTTTTATTTCTCCAGAAAGGGTTTCTCTAATATCTTCCATGTTTTTTTCAAGCCCAGCTAGTATCTTTACAATCATGATTCTGAACTCTAGGTCCAACATCTTACTAATGTCCATATTGATTAGGTCTCTGGCAGTTGGTACTGCCTCTTGTTCTTTTTTGGGGGTGATTTTTTTCCATCTTGTCATTTTGTCCAGAGGACAACAGATGAATGAGAGAACAAAATGCTAACAGGGTAACAACAACCCCAGAAAAATATACAGTAAACAAATCAGAAGAGACCTGAAACCAGAGGAAAAGAAAGGGAAAGAAAGAAAAAAGAAAAATAAAAAAGATAAAAACAAACAAAAAAAGGAATATGATCAAATATGATCAGGCTGGTGCATAGATCAGTGCCACACACTAGATTTTGGGCATATTTTGGTCTGTTAGATGAAAGTGCCTCCCAATATTTTAAAGAATGAAAAACTTATATATGTACAAAAATAGGGTAAATACAATGAAGGAATGGAATATGACTGTAAAGATGAAAATTATAAAAGATTTTATAAAAGGAATTGATAAGATAAGAAGTGGTTGAAAAAAGAAAGAAGAGGATTTAAAAAAAAAAAAGAGAGAATGTGATCAGGCAGGAGACTAGGACAAAGCCATACACTAGAGATTTAGGGTATATTTTGGTCGATTAGAAGAAACTGTATCCCAAAATTTTAAAGCGAGAACAACATATATATATATATATACACCAAAAATAGGGTTAACTACTATCAAGGGATAGAATATGACTCTAAAAATGAAAAATAAAAAAGATTTAAAAAAAAGGGATTGATAAAATATTGGTTGAAAAAGGGAAAAAGAAAAATTAAAAAAAAAGAAAATTAAAAAAATTAACTTTGAAAGACTAAAGAATCATGGGAAAAAAGCCTTGTGTTCTATGTGCTTTATTCCCCTAGTGCTGGCGTTCTGCCATTCTCATTGATCAGTAAACTTGGTTTTGGCTGGCTGTTCTTGCCGATCTTCTGGGGGAGGGGCCTGTTGCCTTGGTTCTCAAATATCTTTGTCAGAGGCGGAATTGCCCTGCCTTTGCCAGGTCCGGGTTAAGTAATCTGCTCGGGTTTGCTCTCAGGAGCCTTTGTTCCCTGCAAGCTTTCCGCATAGCTTTGGAGGATGAGAGTGAAAATGGCAGCCTCCCAATCTCCGCCCTGAGGAGCCAAGAACTCGTGACCCCACTCCTCAGTGCACCCCCAGAGAAAAGTAGTCAATCACTCCCGTCTCCCCAGACTCCAGCCGCACTCCATGCTCACCCAGCCTGTAACCAAGCATTCCTATCTCTGGCACACAACTCCGTGTGGAGTCTCCAAACCCAGCAGATCCCTGCGGTGCGCTCCTGCGCTGCTCCTCTCAGGGGAGGAAGGGGAGTCTCCCCGGATCTGTCGCTTGTTGGGTCCCTGCTGGAGGAGCAGCGGCCCAACTGTGCCGTGGATTACAGTTTATGGCAACCCCTAGCTGAGAGCCCACTCCTTAGCTCCGTCTCTGCAACTGGCTTCCCTGTTCCAATACCTGGGAGCTCTGCCACACTTAGGCACCCCCAGTCTTTCTGTGACCCCGAGGGTCCCGAGACCACACTGTCCCGTGAGGGTTCCACCCCCCGCTTAGCCACCGGAGTGACGTCCCTCAGCGGAGCAGACTTCTAAAAGTTCTGATTTTGTGCTCCGCGGCTCTATTGCTTGCCGGTAGTGGCTGATGGAGGCTCCCTCACCCCACTGTCTATCCTCCCGAATATCGCCTCGGATTCACTTTTCTGCACGTCCTACCTTCCAGAAAGTGGTTCCTTTTTTGTTCTGAGAGTTGCTGCTATTCTTTTCTTCGATCTCCTGTTTGTAGGTGTTCAGAATGGTTTGATCCCTATCTAGCTGAATTCCTGGGACCAGATGAAATTTATGTCTCCTACTCCTCTGCCACCTTTCTCCTCCCCCCTAGTCATGAGAATTATAATCAACAATAATGTTGATAAAGTCATGCAAACTTCCGGCCTGGAATATACTCTCCTTTATGGGTAGCAACTCTGTTTAGCTCAATTTAGTATTCCTTAACTTACTTTGTGATATTTCTTGAAAACAATAGATATTCAATAAGCCTTGGAAGCATATTAAAAATGGAACCTGATCTTCTAAACATGATGTTTGCTTTAATGATTTCTATTTTTCTTGAAGAAGTATTTTTCCAGTATAATGCCCTTTCAAATCTTAACAACTACAGAAGATTGTTGGTAGATAGGAGGGATTAATAGCTTGTTTATCTTATGACATCTGCAACTTTGGGTAAGCCTACATTCATTTTTGCTGAGTCGTTTTATTAACTTTAAAAGATTTAGCTTCTGTTACATTCTATAATTTGAAACTGAGAAATGAGTACATGCAATTGAAGAATTCCACTGAGGTCAGTGATGTATTCAATCTCTGAAGAAAAGGTAATCCATGTGACATCAAAAAGTTCATTTTGGCTCATCTAGTTTTATTCTTAGTCTTTCAATAATTAAGATTTGAAAGAAATAAGTTACTTTATGTAAGGAAAAGGAGAGTAAATGGAAGGAATAACAATCTGAGTAGAAATGATAAAGACTCTTAGGAAATAGAGCTTTAGAAAGGATTTAGGGGTGGATACTTGTCATGGAAACAAGAGTCCTATTATCAGAATCAAAATAATTGGGTAGTATGACCTGTAATAGAGTCATCCTGAAGTATCAGGTTGCAAGTTAACCTAACGCGGAGGTACTTCCATACCTAGCTTCTAAAATTTCAAGTCACAGTTGGCTGGGATACTGAGGCTTGTGGTGGGACCTCAGGAACTGGGGGGCAGAGAGTGATAGTTTTTCTGTTAGGTTTAAATTGTAGCACTACCTGAATAACAACAACTACATGGTTCTAGGTCCCTTTTCTAGTTCTATGATTTTTTTTATCCTTTTGTTTATGCAGATGTATTTGCTATCCTACCAATTAGTTGAGTGAAATTCTAAGTGGCAGTGACCACATTCAAAAAAGATTATAAAGTATTTTGGGAATTTTTTCTTCAATATAGCATGATTGTAATTAAGTACAACTTTTACTTGTGATGGTAATAATTTGGGTGGACCACCGACATTACTTTCATTGAAAATGTGTATAAATGCAATTATATTTCCATATTAACATCTTGGCTTTTATAAAGAAAAAAAAGTATGTTCAAAATTTGCATGTTTGGACATCTTTGACTACTGATATTGTGATTTATTTAAAGGTCTTTTAGAAATTAAATGCAGATTTATAATATATTTAGAATGTTCAGAACTAATTTAAGCATTTGCAACTTTGTGAATTTTGTGTTAATAGGCAACAATTGAATATTTTTGAATGAATAAGCTTTTCTGTTATTATCTTTAAAAAAGAAAAAACATACAAAAGACACACAAAAAGATACCACAGTTAACATTTGGATTGTCAAAATCCTAATTAATATCAAAAAAGACATTACATTCTTTGACATTCTAAATTACTTTGACTTACCACTTTTGAAAATAATTCTTTTTAGGAAAGAAGAATGACTTTGTATAGTTGTTTTGACTTTAAAATTTATAGTCTAAAATGAAGGCTGTGGAAAGTTTGGTGTCATGTTACCAGTGAATGTTTGAGATAAATAATGTAAGTCAAATCACTTTCTAATCTATACTGACCTTGACCTTTTCCTGTGGATAAACATCTATAAATGATCATTTGCATATCCAAGCCCTCCTGCAGCCAAATATTGTCTATCACTTGAATAATCTGCAGAACAAGCATATCCTGACGAAGATCATCTCCGGCCTGTTAAAAACAAAATTATAGACTCTAGGTTTCTCTTTGAATTCCATTAAAGGCCTTCAAATATGGTATATGTCATTTCTTTCCTCCAATACATTTCCAGCCCAACTTAAGATGGTTTCAATTGTTTTGTTAGTATTAGGAACACCTTGTGTTTTTGAGAGAAGATTAAAGAAAATAAGAACTTTCTTTTAAATGATTACAGAAGCTTCAGCCATCAAATTAGAAGTTGCTTGGAATGTTGTTCGCTGATAATAATCTTTTAATTTATCATCCATGTACAATATCTTAGATTCAAAATCTAGTGAAGAGAGGCTTGATGAATGTTTATTCAAATTTTAAACTCAACCAAGAGAGATTTCTTTCTAACTAAGACATTATTTGGTATGCCATAAATGTATATGCTGATATACAGTTAGAATACCAAGAGCTTCTTGACTAAGAGTATAAATAGCACACATAGAATTCATCTGACTTTAAATCTTTGACTTCTTATATTATGAAGGTGGTTAAAAAGTTTTCAGAGTAAACAGCCTTTGATAATAAGAAATGATTAAGGGGTGATTTTCTAGCATAGGTGAAGGAAATGGAATATATCCAAAGGGGAAGGTTAGTTTTCTGCTTTTAAACTAACAGGTTTGGTTTTGAAAATGTTTTCTAAATTATATGCAAAAAAATATTCCAAGATGAAATTTGTGGTACTTTTTTCTTCACCCAAAATGCACTGTTTTGTGGCCATTAATGCTTGAAGTTACACAGGTCAAAGCCAAAGTATGGGTGTGCTAAAAATTATCCTCAAAAATAGTCAAAATCCACCAAATAAATCACTCTGAGACCTGATTATCTGGTTTGGCTGAATACTTGATTAAATTAACTGAATGGCTCTAAAGTCTTCCTTTTCACTCACAGCTTCTTCTTTGGTCCCTCTTTCCTGCTTGTCTATACCCCTGTTACTACATTTTACTCTACTTTCCTATGGGATTCATGATAAAGACCGACTTGGCCTCTATTTATTTGAAAAGAAGAAAATAATCCAAATTACTAAAATAAGCAAGTGACTGTAGATAAGAATTTTATGTTAAATTAACATATAATTTGAATTTTAGTTAATATTGATTTTAATTTAGTATCTAAATCAAAGGAAAACTCACTAGGGGTTCACCACACATTCCACTTTCTGTGCTACTCAAAAATGTATAATTTCATTTATTGAAACATATCTCCTTAAGTTTTTCACTGAAGGCTCACTAGCTTGAGCCAGTAATGATTGATTTATCATCAATCATTGTTTGACATGTACTATAATTCTGTAAAAATGCAGAATCAAAAATAACTGGAATCCTCTGTTTTGTTGTCAGAGGAAAATACCTATAATAATTTCTTTTTGCAAGAAATAAATCAATAATTCTACCTGTGAAATCAATTTGATGTTTTTGTACCTTAAAAATGACGCTGATGTTTTTGCCCATTGGGTTAGCATTGATGAAAGTAATCTTCAATGGCAAAGCGTGAGATGTGAAATATGAACATGCCTATAGAAAAGGAAGAGAAAAATGGTGAGCAAAATAGAGCAAAAAGAACACTTTCCTTGAAATCATGGGCCTCTCGCATAATTTGTTATATAAGCAAATGTAACACATATGAATAATTTTTACACTTTGGAACAAAGAAACACATTTATTAAAAACAACAACAAAACAACTTCAGTCTACTAACCAAAGCCTTTACTTAGAAACTGAAAATCCAGCTTCTTGGCAGCTTCTACTCTTTTTCTCACTGAACAGTGATGAAATGTTGGGGATTTAAATAAACTAAGTAGTATGTAGGCATTGTGTTTATGATAGTTAATATCTAAAAGATAAAATTGCTATTCAAAAATTGATTTGCTTTTAATTATTTCTTCCCTGCAGAATACATTAAGGAAATATGAATATATGGTTAAGAAAGACTGAGTTCAAATTTGAACTTTGTAACTTACTAGCTGCAAGACCTTGGGCAAGCTGCTTAAATATTTGAATCCCACTATAAAATGGGGATAATAACACCTGTCTCAAGCATATTTGTAATAGATATATGGGCTAATAGATATAAAAGACCTTCCACAGTACAGTGCCTGACACTAATTAGATACTCCAAAAAAAATAATAATGCATTCTTTTTCTCTTTTTGTTAATGAACATTTTCTTACCTTTACAAATAGTACAACATATGTTTACTCCTTTCCTTTCTTTCAGTTATACTTTGCATTTCCATTTTCAGCTTTATGATATTGACTACTTTCCATTATACTTTCCTTGTTGCTTATTTTCCTTTTATGTTCTTACAGCTGTTTGAGTGCTAAAAGGTTGTATGTCTTTAGGCTATTAGAGACTTTCTGTTGACAGTGAAGAGTTAATACTAAATAAAAGAAAAGAACTTGATGGTTTCAATTTATCAACTTAGTAAAATATGACATCAATACATGTTGAAGGATCAGTTTGAAAATCATTATTTTTTGAGAAGTCTGAAATTGGTAGAAGTAGAGAGGAAAGGATATATATTTTTTTAACTTAACTTATCAACAGAAATCTAACCTAATCCCTAAGCAAAGAGAAACCATTGATTACTGAATCAGTTTGAGATTTTTTTAAATTATTATGTTATGTTAATCACCATACATTACATCATTAGTTTTTGATGTAGTGTTCCATGATTCATTGTTTGTGTATAACACCCAGTGCTCCATGCAGTACATGCCCTCCTTAATACCCATGACCAGGCTAACCCATCCCCCCACTCCCTTCCCCTCTGGAACCCTCAGTTTGTTTCTCAGAGTCCATAGTCTATCATGGTTCATTTACCCCTCTGATTTCCCCCTCTTCATTTTTCCCTTCTTGCTATCTTCTCCTTCTTCTTCTTCTTCTTCTTTTTTTTTTTTTTAACATATAATGTATTACTTGTTTCAGAGGTACAAGTCGGTGATTCAACAGTCTCACACAATTCACAGTGCTCACCATAGCACATACCCTCCCCAATGTCTATCACCCAGCCACCCCATCCCTCCCACCCCCCACAACTCCAGCAACCCTCAGTTTGTTTCCTGAGATTAAGAATTCCTTATATCAGTGAGATCATATGATACATGTCTTTCTCTGATTGACTTATTTCGCTCAGCATAATACCCTCAAGTTCCATCCATATCGTTGCAAATGGCAAGATTTAATTCCTTTTGATGGCTGCATAATATTCCATTGTATATATATACCACTTCTTCTTTATCCATTCATCTGTCGATGGACATCTTGGCTCTTTCCACAGTTTGGCTATTGTGGACATTGCTGCGATAAACTTTGGGGTGCACATACCCCTTCGGATCCCTACATTTGTATCTTTGGGGTAAATACCCAGTAGTGCAATTGCTGGGTCGTATGGTAGCTCTATTTTCAACTTTTTGAGGAACATCCATACTGTTTTCCAGAGTGGCTGCACCAGCTTGCATTCCCACCAACAGTGTAGGAGGGTTCCCCTTTCTCTGCATCCCTGCCAACAGGGAAATCCAAATCAAAACCTCAAGCAGTTTGAGATTTATAATAAATGGGTGAGACTGCTTGTTAAGTAATGAATTCCTGGCTTCGAGAATCAGTCAATCAGGGAACATAAGACCTCTGTCATGGTACTGAATTAGGAAATCCTGTATTAGGCCAGAAATGAGTCTAGATCAGTGGTTTTCAAACTGTGCTCATCCAATTCTTGGGGGTCTCTTTGAGGCATCCCAAGTCCAGGGAAGAGAAAAAGGGCAAAGGGAGGATGAAGACAAGGCTTAGCCCTTCTTAATTACCTCACTCGGATCTATTTTGCTTTCATTGTTTTATATTTTGGTTTCCACATGCAGTATACTTTTTGAGATCATGTCAAAAATATTTTATATTTGACAACTAATGTGCACAAACCATTATCTATGTGATATCAGAGATACCATATCTACTCTCCAAGAACCTACAGAAAGTTGGTATGAACACAAACACATATGCATTAAGTTGAAAATAATTTACAAGTAGAGATACCATATCTACTCTCCAAGAACCTACAGAAAGTTGGTATGAACATAAACACATATGCATTAAGTTGAAAATAATTTACAACCATTAATCACAGTTGAATGAAGAAGCACTTAAAGAAGAGAAGTCTTCCAGAGATGAGCTGGATTTGAAGATTGGGAAAGACAGAGATTAGCAAAAATGTTTAAAAAAATGCTTTCTAAGTAGGGAAAGGCAAACAATGAGAATTTAGATTAGATGTTAAAAATGGATTGCAAGGACCACAACCAGGAGACAGGAAAGAATGAGTTGGAGTCTTGGAAGATAATTTTATGTAAATGGTGAGATAAAAGAGTTGGAATAGAGAAAAAAATATAAGAAGAGCTAGAATAGAAAAAGAAAGATATGACCCCTGTTCTTGAGACGTATACACTAATGACATAGATTTAAAATAGTTTTAAAAAAGGAAAGAAACCTATTTGTAAATGAAGTGTGTGGTTCTTACTTTCCCAGGAGTGGAGGAAGATTGCATTAAGTTACAACCACTTTCCCAAATGGTCCGTTCCCTAGTGATCCAAAGGAAAATAGGAAATGGTCCATTGTAATTAGTGGTTCCAAGGAGAGACAAGGGTGAAAATTCTTTGAAAGAAGGCTTAACTCAAAGTTAAGACCTTTGTCCTTTATCTTGGAGAGCCACACTTTAAGAAGGAGATTGGCCTGAGTGCTTCTCCCCAGTGTAGTTTACTGATGATGATTAAAACAAAATGTTGACTGTAGGCTTTCCCATACTCACTATCTTCATAGGGCTTCTCTCCAGTGTCAACTCTCTGATGCATGATAAACTGTGAACTCTCTCTAATGGCTTTCCCACAATCATTGCATTTATAAAGTTTCTCCCCAGATGGGTTCTCTGACATCGTAAACTTGGTGCTATCACCAAAGACCTTCCCACACCTATCACATTCATAGGATTTTTCACCAGTGTGAATTCTCTGTTATATAACGAAATGTGTGTCTTGACTGCATATTTTCCATACTTACGGGGTTTTTTGCTTGTGTGAAGTCAGGTGACATAAAATAAGACATTTACTCTGACTGATTATCTTGCCACACTGTGTTCCAAATGTTTTTCTCTGGTATAAATTTGCTCATAGCCAACAGGTTGAGTTCTGACTGAAGCCTTTTCCATACTGCCTGCATTTATTATGCTTGTTCCCTAGTGTGGAGGCTCTGATGTCAAATAAGACATTTATCCTGACTGAAGGCCTTACTATGTTCATTATACTTAAGGCTTCTTCCCAGTATGGATTCTCTGGGGGTCAAAATGGTTTCTGTTGGAACAGAGAGCTTGCCCACACTCATTTCAACTGTAATGTTTTTCACTAATGTGAAGTACTTGATATTAGAAAAGGATTTTACTCTGAATGAAAGCCTCCTACACATGAAATTTATGTCTTCTCCCGAGGATGAGTTATTTGAGAGTCAATGAGTAGGGAACTCTGCGTGAAGGTTTTTATGCATAAAGCACATTTATAAGTTTTTTTTCCAATTATGGAATCTCTGATATTGAATAAGATGGGAGTAGTGATGACAGATCTTCCCATGTTTGCTGCATTCATGGGGCTTCCCCGCTTAGTAGATTCTCAAAAGAACCATTGACTGAGAGGTCTCTCTAAATGTCTTATCATACTCATTACACTCTTAGAGGCTCTTTTCTTTTGGATCCTCTGATGCAGGCTCTGATTGAAACCTAGCCACACTCACTACATCTTCAGATGTGATGTATGTTCCCTCAGACTTCCTTGTTTGGCAGGACTGTAGGATGGACTAAAATGTTGCCCAGGATAGAGTGTCACCTGGCCACATCTGCCCTGTTTATTGCTCTACACACAGGTACCCAGCATTGTGCCAGGCACAACTGGCCAGAGCAAATGGAGCAAAGAGGGAGCTTTACTTGGCATACTTTCCAGACTCAAAGAAAGTACCACTGTCTGCAGGTAGGTATAGAAAAGGAGTGTGGTCCCAGCTACAGTGCTAGGGGTGGTGACTGCTGAGCTGGTGGCCCTCAGCCTGAGGCAGCAAAGTTGTAAACATAATAGTACCAACTTTTTAGCAAAACTTTTTATATTCATACTAATAAAGGTCTAGTTTTTCTCCTAATTATTAGGTTTTCTTGATTATATTATAATGTCAGTCAAGTAACATTTATTGTGCATGCATGATAGTTTAACCTCTTCACTTCTGAGTCTCACTTACCAATCTTTCTTCTATTAGTGCTTTCTACTCTTGGGCTTTTGAGAAGGAGGCTAATAAAGTTAATGGAGATAAAAGGAGAAAGAATGATTCTAAGTTAGAGAAGTGTGACTGACAGAGGCTTAAGAAGAGAAAGAAATTGTTTCTGATGCCAGGAAGGTCACTCCAGGCATAGTAAAATCACAAAATATATTATATGGTACACTGACACATGAGTTTCAGTGAATTTTAAATTAAATAAAAACTGAGGTGTTGTAGCTCATAATATCCTAGTGTACTAAGCATGGGTATGCACATAATCTAAATAAGCATGAAACTAAAACCAGCCTGCTTAAGGTCACCAAATCAACCATTTTGAATAAATTGAGAAATTAATTTAGTGAGAAGTATATTTATTTATTTATTTATTTATTTATTTATTTATTTATTTATATTTTTACTGAACTGATAGTTTATTTCTAAATCAACAAATCAAGTGATGAGGCCAGTGCAATCTCAATCTTACACAGTGCATCAAATGCAGCATTTAGTTTGGATAGGATTCAATTACTTTTTTCTTCAAATACTTGCAATGACAATTTACAAATTGTTTTTGCCATTTCAAAAACATACAGGGAATTAAAGAATACAAAACAAAAATACTCAACTTACATACTAAATAAACTGACTTACATCACGATCAATACCCTTTATACACAGGGCAGGGTTCAGAGGAAGGTGGCAGGTCTTTATACACTGAAAGAATTCTTCTAGTCTGCCAATCTCTTTCTTTAGTACCTCCTGTGAAAAAATCATTTGAAAAAGCATTTTAGAAACTGTAAAGAACTTGACTTTCTTTCAAGTTATAATTTTCTTCTATTGATTAAATAAACTCTTTAATTCAGGGGTTGCACACTTGGATGCTTTGGGGTCAAGTAGGTGAAGTAGCCACATATAAGGAAGCAGTGTTAAAAATAATAGGGAGTGTTGGGGAAAATGGGGAACTAAAGAGTTCATGCCTTTTCTACAGGATCTTAAATTCAATTAAAACCAAAACCAAAACCAACTATTCTGTTCAAACAAAACATGATGTGTTGGCTATGATTTGAGGCCCACCGTCTTACAATACCTGCTTTAAGTAATTGTTGACATGATCCAATTCTGATAACTTCCTGGAATCTTAGTTTGTAACCCTCAAGATTTATACTTAATAGTGATAGTACATTTCAGAAAAAAAATCACACATACTAAGAGCAATAATGGCAAAAATGACAATTGTCAGAAATAGCAATATATTTGAACAAATGGTTTACTAAATGCCAATGAGTATATTCCTGATACTTGCCTCACTCCCTTCCATAGTTCTCTGTACCTGTGGAAGGTCTGAAACCACAAACAACACCTTTAAAATTGTGTATCCCCTAACAAAAAGAGCAGAAAAACAAAAATATAAGAGCTCCTTTTAACCCACTTTCAGAAACTCTTTAAGTCCAATTCTAAAAATGAAGGTATCAGATTAATAATGTTTAATTAACTCCCAAGAGTTTCTTAGCTCTTACTCCTGGGTCATTGGCAAATAATAGAAACTACTGCTCCCAGAATCCAGAAGAGCAAGGTGGAAAAATATCTTCTTTCACACAGTTTAATTAGTACTTTTTATTTATTTTATTTTATTTTTGATGAGATGACATGGTTTAATAGTAAACAGCAGAGAAAAACAATGCATAAAGAAATAACTTATAGGAATCTGAAGAAAAATAATCAAGGAGGCAATTTTAATATATTAAACATTCTAGCCTTTATCAGAATAAGCAGACATAAATTTATAAGTAGGTTTGCAGAATTATGAATTATCTATTAAAAAGGTTTTTTTTAAGTTTTTATTTAAATCCCTGTGAGTTAACATACAGTGTAATATTAGTTTCAGGTGTACAATATAGTGATTCAACACTTCTGTACAACACTAAATAGTACTTTTTCAAATGAAATAGAAAAAACAGCTAACAGTAACTTGAATTGTGCGAAATTGTAAATGCTTCTTTCATCTCTTTATTTTTATTTTCTTATTTTTATGTGAAGAAGTGTTATCACAAAAACAGCCTAGGTGAGAGAAATATATTTATTTGAAAGAATAATGTCAATAGCTCTTTGGAACTTAATGTAAATGGTCAAAAAGGCATCAGACTTATTTAACTGTAGTATGCATCTCAAATATGTGAGGAATTTTAAAATCTAAGAAATAAAGTCTAAACTCATACATAAATTTTATAAATTTTAAACCAGTTTATTTACTTGCTTTCATTTTTTTCTATCACTAGAAAAATTAATCTGCAGTAATATGAAGACATTATAGAAGCTTGTTTTTTTATTGCTCATCATATTATTTATCTTATGGTTTTTATGTCAATCTAGAGTTTATATGTTTCCCACTTAAGAATAAATTCCATGCTTATGCTTTTTATTTCCTATTTATTCCTATATAGGTGAAGGGCCATAGCTTCTGGCATTTCTATCTAATGAATGACTTCCAGCAAGAAAAATACTGGGCTGGGAAAGAATTCTGGGACAATTTGCCTGTCAATGTTTCTATATTATTATGTTGAAAACTCTTTTTGATTTTAGACAGTGGGTGGAGAGAAACTATGTGCTCCCTTTGAGGGCAGAATTCATGTTTTAGTCATCTTTCCATCCTTAACTCCCAGTCTGTAAGTACTTAATTGTTCCTGAATGATGTTATTAATACAATGGATAGATGCTCACTACCTCCCTGCATCTAGAATGTTGAACGTAAGAGAACCTGCTTAGTGGTCTATATCAGTGAGGGAAACTAGTGATGCAGATAATTAAAAAGAACAAATATTCTTCAATCATATCAAGAAAAAGCCAGGTCCATTATTATAATCAGTGATGAAAAACGCACAATATTTTGACTATCATTCATGGATCTTAGTATAAAAGTTTTACTATCCACACCACTATTGATTTGCTTAATTTAATTAATTGTTTTGCTAAGAACGTCTTTATTTTGATTAGTGTAGTGTTAAAAAAATCTAGACCTCGATTTTGTACCTTGGACAAGAGTACCCTAAAAAGTCCCCTCTGGACTTCTACTAGTGTGAGTTGTGCTGCCATTTTGAGGAAATTACTTCATCTGGTCTTTTTAACCAAACTGCCTTTAAGTTTATTTCTTCTTGTTAGGTACTCTCCATATGCTGCATGGCTACTTAGATCAAAAAACTATATTGGGGTACCTGGGTGGCTCAGTCAGTTAGGCATTCAAGTCTTGGTTTTGGCTGAGGTTATGATTTCAGGGTCGTGAGACTGAGCCACATATTGGGCTCCACACTCAGTGGAGAGTCCACTGGAGATTCTCTTCCTCTCTGTCTCCCCCTGTGCTCCTCCCACCATTTGCTTGTGCTCTCTCTCTCTTTCTCTCACAAATCTTAAAAAAACATGTCCTTGTGGTAGACATTATCATAAGATTGTAAATTGAAAAAAAATCTTGATTAAAGTATTTGAGTTGGGTGTCTTATAACTAAGTATAGACAATGAATCTGCTTTCTAAGCTATGAAATTAAAATTTAATTGAACAAGAGATTAAAGAAAACACTACATGAAGATTAATTTCTCAACAAACCTGTCTCTGAGGGTCACTGGCAGACTTGACTTTTTCCCCGATGTCTCCCAGAATTTTAATAAGTTTCTTCTCCTTGGAAAACTCATCACTCAAGGCTTTTCCTGAACAGAATTGGAGAGCAGCCAACAGCTTCTGATACCAGCTTTTAAAATAAGTTTCATTCTGTGCATCCATTAGCAGCCTGAAGGAAAGAGAGAAAAAGAATTCTTGTATCCACAGCTGATATTTTAACCACCTCCAGCAAGAACAATCAGTGCATTTCAGACTAATCTGTATTTGGTGGCTATGGGCAGTTTAACAGCCTGGAATCGGGGAAAATGTTGTTTATTTGTTGGCAGTCATCAAATTCCATCTGATAGCTAATGAGATTCCTAGAGTGAAGAATCAATAAGAGACCTGTCTTTTCTCATTTCAATTCACAGTGCACTTTTTCTTCTTTCAGGCTTCTTAATTCTATAACAAATACTTAAGAACATATTTTGACTTCTTATTCAAATAAGGACAATGTTTTAGAAATAGTACTTATAAGTGACCACACTATATTGGAACTCAACCATCAACCTTCCTTTTCCTACTTTTCTTCAAAAGGCAATGTCCCCCCCACCCCCACTGTCACATACCTACATACTTCTCTTTCTTCCAGTATCTCCCCTTGATTACTTGGAGGAAGACATGGTTTTTGTTTTCAGGCATTTCTGGATTCAAATCTCAGCCCTCTGACTTATAAGTAATTTATAAGTAATTTAGGTTAGTTACTTAACTAGGCTGAGATTGTATTTTTTTATCTATAAAACAAAGTAATAACGCTGACTTTGTGGAGCTGTATAGAACACAGAATGAGCTAATGCATTCAAAAGGGCTTAGCACAATGTACCTATCAGTCAGCCAACATTGTTCATATTTTGTGACCTCCCCCAGCCAACTTCTGTTCCTGCCTGGCTGTCTGCTCATGTCATGAACATGGGAAGCATAGCACTAAAAAAGTGAGAATACTATGCTAGATAATGGAGAAGTAACAAATATTTTATTACTCTGTCTGCCATGTGACAATTTCTATCGCCTTGAAACTAATTCTAATATGCTCAAACTTTACTTTCTATCATGCCCTAAACCACCGAAATAGGAAAAAAACAAACAAACAAACAAAAAACAAAACCCTTATTCCTTTGAATGTTAACCTCTCTTTGATTGAGTCTTTTCATCTTAACTGGTCTCTAGTCTTGTCCTCTGAAAATTTAACATTCAAGAAAATAGAAGAAAGTTATTGTGAGAATGGAATACTAAAAAAAAGATTAAATGCAGAGCAGTTGAAAAGTATACAGATGAATTTCATTCTGCATTCTTAATTTTGCATCTCTACTTCTGTATTATGTTACAGAGACTATAACACATTATTTTCATTCGTTCTATGTTCTCTGTTTCTATGTATTTAGAAAAATTAAGTTAAAAAGTTAAAAAAATTGAGTCTACCTTTTTTTTCCTTTTTTTAGGTGAGGGCTTGGTCTCTTGTCATTGTTATGAAGCCAACTTATCTTCTAGCACCTCTTTTGCTTTTAAGTGGAATAACAGTTCTTTTTTTAAAAAAAGATTTTATTTATTTTTTGACAGAGAGAGAGACAGCGAGAGAGGGAACACAAGCAGGGAGAGTGGGAGAGGTAGAAGCAGGCTCCCCGCTGAGCAAGGAGCCCGATGCGGGGCTCGATCCCAGGACCCTGGGATCATGACCTAAGCTAAGGCAGATGCTTAACAACTGAGACACCCAGGCACCCCTGGAATAACAGTTCTTATTTACCTCTGGAAAGCATTAAAAAAAAAAAAAAACCTCAAAGGTTTAAAGATGTATTGATGAAAAAATGTAATCCATTGATACCTGCTTATTTTCAATGTAAGAATAATAGCAATGAACTTTTCCTATGCTTACCCCTATAGTGAGCATTTGGATTGTCAGATGTAACAATGAAACCTGTCATTATTTGGAAGCTCTAAGAAAATGAGTGTTGTGTGAGTGTGAATTGGAAAGCTGCAAATGCAAGCATCCACATGTAAAACTTTAAGACATTTTATGTAAAATTGTATATATCTCAGATTTTCTCCATATTTTGAGGACTTTGGTAATATACCATTTTATAGTGTACTTGGGTTTCAGTGAGCTAGGCACTTGACAGGTAGAATATTTCTTTAAGCTTTCTTTTTTCTTTTTTCTTTTATTATGTTATGTTAATCACTATACATTACATCATTAGTTTTTGATGTAGTGTTCCATGATTCATTGTTTGCGTATAACAATCAGTGCTCCATTCAATACATGCCCTCTTTAATACCCATCACAAGGCTAACCCATCCCCCCACCCCCTCCCCTCTAGAACCCTCAGTTTGTTTCTCAGAGTCCATAGTCTCTCATGGTTCATCTCCCCCTCTGATTTCCCCCCCTTCATTTTTCCCTTCCTAATATTTTCTCTCTCTTTTTTTTTTTAACATATAATGTATTATTTGTTTCAGAGGTACAGGTCTGTGATTCATCAGTCTCACACAATTCACAGCGCTCACCATAGCACATACCCTTCCCAATGTCTATCACCCAGCCACCCCATCCCTCCCACCCCCCACCACTCTAGCATCCCTCAGTTTGTTTCCTAAGATTAAGAATTTTTCATATCAATGAGATCATATGATACATGTCTTTCTCTGATTGACTTATTTCGCTCAGCATAATACCCTCCAGTTCCATCCACATCGTTGCAAATGGCAAGATTTCATTCCTTTTCATGGCTGCATAATATTCCATTGTATATATATATATATATATATATATATATATATATACCACATCTTCTTTATCCATTCATCTGTCGATGGACATCTTGGCTCTTTCCATAGTTTGGCTATTGTGGACACTGCTGCTATAAACATCAGGGTGGATGTACCCCTTTGGATCACTAAATTTGTATCTTTGGGGTAAATATGACAGGTAGAATATTTCTATATCTCTATCAATGCCTGCCAGCATTTTCATACAATTTGAATATTGAGTCGCTTGTTTTAAAACTATTTTTAACCAGTTCTTGTACATAAGTATAACTCTATAACCTCTTGACTGCTATATACATGCTAAAAGGAAAAGTTCTTTTGTACAGATGAAGTAAACTTTTTACTAAAATAATTTTTTAAAAAGATACCTTTAGAGGTTATTGGGGTCATGGGAACCATCAGAATTATATAATTTTGTGTTCATAATACTCTTAATTTTTTTTTGTTAGAAATGTATTTGATTTTTTTCAAGGAGAAAAACACAATTTTATTTCTTGCTCAAAATAAAACAGCAGGGAAGATTTGCAGAAAGAATATGACTGTGTTCTAAAAAATATATATAAAAAGCAAAGAAAATTCAGGGTATTCCACTGTGATTATTTTCCTTGTAGAATATGCCTCATTCCAACCCCGCATCCCCACTCAGATCAGATGTTCTCCCAGTGAGATCTGGCTCAAGCTCTATGGCTTTTCACCCGACTAATGAAGAGTTTGTCTTTACACATTGTGGAATTGAAATCGTGGAGTGGTAGAGGTAGGAGATGACCACGAGAGGTCAAATAGTCCATCCCTGTGTCCTTACACACAGTCAAGAAAAATTAATGTGTCCTTTCATTTTAAACAACTGCAAAGAAAGTTTAACTATATAGTTTGAGGTAGAGGGATACTCAGTTCTTCATTGATGACTTTTACATAAGGAAGCGCTAAACCACTCATGCCATAGTTTGTATCCATTGCCTGTGTGTATAAGATTAGCTAACAGCCGGCCACTCTCTCTTGAACACCACAGAAACCTTTTTCAAAAGATATTGTCACCTAAGAGAAGCAGCATTGCTTATGTCAAATAATTTTTTTGTTTAATTTTCAAAGTTAACACAAAGGGACTGAGAAGTATCAAGATTTGGTGGTGAAAGATCAGACTTTTAAGGTGCATGCAGTGTGACTGTGTATACACTGTGAAGTAAATCTTAAAATGCCAGAGACCTGTTTATCCTAATATCTGTGAGATCCAAGGATATAATTCAATTTGATATGATTTTGTACACCTCTTATAGACTGTAAGTTATTACAACATTAAAATGAGGATAAATGCATAAAATCTAGCTGCTTAAAGGTTTGGAGAGTATTAAGGATGAGAAGCAGAAGCAAGAATGAGGAGGAAACTCAGGTAACAACTGTGTAGAGGATGTTATGAAGGTATTTGACTGAATTAAGGGGGTCATGGTGGACTCAGAGAGACCTAAGCTATAGAAACCCCAGACTGCATGATAGGGAGATTTTCCTTGGATATTGAGATTGTCTCTGTTTCTTCATGCACATGGCTGTTAATGATCCCATAGCAAATAACTTGCTAGAGCCACAAAAGTACATAGTTCTCACTTCTCAGACTACCAGCAGGACAGAATAGAGTCACCACACCATCCCGGCCCTCCTTGCCTCCTGACTCTCTTCAGTGAAGGTCTAATTGTAGTTTTCAATAGCACAGTATCCCACATCTTACAAGCTGCCTTAAATTTTGACCCTGTGAGTGAAAAGGGGAAACAACATCCTAGAGCAGAAAAAAACTGAGCTACACAATGAAGATGAGTGATTTCAGGTCATTCCAGGACCTCCCCTTCCCATTTTCTCTCATGTTTGTTGATACAAGGCAAGGTGTGAGGCTCAGTAGACCAGTTTTTAGTGAGCTCAGGAGGATTTTAGAAGGTCACTTCTTCAAGTGTATTTAAAACCCTGGGACATATAAAGATTGATATTAATACTTGATATGGAATTACTAATTTTAAGATTTTAATAGAGTGATTAAGAAGTAAAAAAGCATGTGGGGTGCCTGGGTGGCTCAGTCGGTTAAGGATTTGACTCTTGATCTTAGCCCAGGTCTCAATGTCATGGTTGTGAGCTCCATACTGGGCATGGAGTCTACTTTTAAAAAAAAAAAGAAGAAGAAGTAAAAAGTATGTCCTTTGTAAAGGACAACTTTATTTTACTTCTTAGTGTTTAAGACATTTATTTAATATTTTCCAAACTGAGGACCTTGATACTTTTTTTTTTTAGAGAGAGACAGAAAGAGAGCATGGACACGAGTGGGGGTAGGAGAGGGGCAGAGAGGGAGAGGGAGAGGGAGACAGAGAATCTTAAGCAGTCTTCATGTTCTGC